CCTTGAAGAAAGAAAACAGACGCCGGTGACTATCCTAAAAAAATAGACCAAAAAAACTCCCCTCTAAACCCTAACACAAGTCATATATAAGAAAGGACTAGAAATGACTGAAAGAAATAAACGAAAAGGTTGAAATTTGCCAAAGTTGGAAAGGAAGCAAAAAAAAAAAAAATCTTATTCGGCTCAATCATCACGCGACTACGGGAGATGTAAGGCTCACTCCCGCATCCTGCTCGTACACGGGCACCGCGTCATCCTATTTATAGAAATAGATTGTGAGATAATGACAAGTTGCTGAAATCAGATAAAATCATACACAAAACTAAATTTAATCCTAACAAACTCTAGATAACCCAAAAGGACAATTTATTCTGATTAAAATCAAAATAAATGAATAAATCCTAATTTGACAATTTGAATTTAATGATAACGAACTCAATCTATACTAGTGAAAAAACATGTTGCACTTAAAGTGGCAATAGAACATCTACTATAACATAGTCAATGCTGATGATTCTTCAGACATCTACACAAATTATTCCATTGTTTATGATAATTAGATGGTGTAGTTGTGGAAAGAAAAAATCAACTTATTATGATGCAGGCAATCAACTCATGAAGATAAGAAAAAATCTCTCTCTCCAAATGTAAGGGAAATAGAGAACCAACATATAGAGTTTTATCGAGTGTTCGTCGACACTTTGAAACTTATTTAAAAATTCTTTCCATTTTAAAATTTAAATTATAATACTCAAAGGAGAACACTCAAAATGATTAAATAGTTTATCCAACTCTCTACCTTCAACCCTAGCATAGACAACGTGTGATCACCTTCATTTTTTTACGCCCTTTTATGATGTGCATTGGTGTTTCATAATATTAGATCATTGGTTTATGTGGTCGTATTAATTTTTTGATTGTGGGCTTGTTAGTTACAACACACATAGCTAAATCTCAAATTCAACACCATTCTATGCTAGTGAATTTATTATTGTAAATAGAGATAGTGCTAATCGTATGGGACATACATTCAAATGCTTATTATTCAAGGAAGATTTACATGCATACCACTCAATTCATATGTATTTACATATCTAGAACCTAATCTTCAATTTTTATATACATGTAAGCTCACCTATGCATGAAAAGATATACTTCACTTTTTAAAAGCTAAAATGATGATATCTTTTATGTGATATGAAAGATTTGGGTTGTATAAATGTATAAAAAAAAGTTGAGGGGTTGGATATGTAAATATAATAGTAATTGGGTGGTATGTATCTAGATGCCCCACTATTTAATAACTAACAATTGCATAAACCATCGGAGACACTCACTCACACTTATGTTGTATGTTTTTGGATGTTATTTTTTTAGAAGATGATTTATGTAGCCTTTGACACTAATGGAGATAAATAGGACAATCATGATTGTAATCAATGTTTTAAAAGGCGGAGGCATTGAGCAGGGCATTTTGTTTGTTACGGGGCGAGATGTAAGCCCAACAATATAAAACAAATATAAGGCATATAATTATTAAGAGATAAAAATAAGAATTTATACTCATTCAATTTCAAAATAAGTCTTCTAGGACTAAAATCTTCAAGATATTGGCATAAGTCCACCACAAAAAGTACAAAAATATAAAAATAAGTATACATGTTTGTCAACAAAATAATTTTGCTCAAATGATCTCAAACTTTGAATATTATTCATTCTTCAAATTCATCATCAAAATCTTCTTCCTCTTCTCCATCAATAGTTGTCTCCAAACCACAACCAGATCATTCATATTTTCTATATTTCACTTTATTAAAGTAATCGTCATACTCGATCTCAGCTACATTCACAATTTATTTCTCCTTATAATTGTTGCATATATTATCAAATAAAATAAAATAACATTCATAAATATTTCGGATCTTTTTTCTGTAAGAATATGTAATTATGTAAAGGACAACTAAACGTAAATATGAAACTTTGTATTTTCATTCAGATTTATTTTTCTAAGGGAATATGTTATAAAAATATCATTTCTTCCTTGTGTAAGATTTTGTGAATATTTATTTGTATTAGTTATCGGCACAAATGATTATAATATAATACATGTTTTGCTTCATTCACCCAAGAAGGTTCTTATGTAAGCACCGGTTCTTCTTTCTCATCTATGTTTTTTTTTACTAATATTGGATCGAACTCTTGTTTTTTCTTTTGTTTCTCTCCCTCAATCTAGTATTATATCTTACATACACCAGAGTATTCAACCTCTTGTGCTCCAATATATTCCTCGTCTTAGTATGAATCTAAAATAAAAAATATATTTTTTTAAGAAGTGGGATATGAAAGCAAATAATAACAATTTAAATAAGTAAAAAATTATTACCGATTCAAAAGTGTTCTAATTTCTTTCACAACCTAATGAACTGCATGTGAGGCTAAAATTCGAATAGAAATATTCATTAACTCGTTTTCCCACAAAATCTCATCTACCAATCAACAAGAAATTTTAACTTTGTTGAGTCCATTGCAACTCTACTCCCAAAGTCTCCTCTTAACTTATCCTACAAGACTAATTGAATATCAACTCTAAGGCGATCTTCATAATCCAACATTCTTTTCATATAAGCAATTAACCCTTGTTTCACCTCTTCATCATTAGAGAAATTATTTTGCAAACGAAATTGAGGGTTTTAAATAATAAGCAGTCAAATGTAATGATTTATAAAGTTTAACTTCTCATCATGCATCAATTTTGCTTCAAATAAGTTCATAGATCTTTTCATTATGCTCACAATTAAAAGCAATTTTTTCTCTTGTTGAATCCATTAACTCCTAAATATAACTCATAGTTGGTCTTTCTTCTGAGTCAATCTCTCTTAGAACATTTGCAAATAACACAAAACTATTGACACAGTAAGCAAGATGAACCTAAAAATATGGATATAACAAACTAATAGCTCTAGCTTTTATACCTTTTGTTTTTTTAGCCCATTGACTAGAACACCAAGCATCTAAAAAGAACATTGTCTGAAGTGATTGCTTATGTTTGTAAATGCTTTGAAGAGTCAAATATACAGTAGCAAACTGTGTGATGGTTGGACGAACGAGTTCCCTCTCATTTATAAAAGATGTCACCAACCCATAAACCCATGTGTGCCCATTAGTGAATTTAACTTCTTTTGTTTTTGCAAGTGTGCTTTCATAAATCTTTAGCTTTCCAACTTCTTCTAACATGAGGTCAATATAATGAGTTGCACAATGCGTCCAATAGATATGTTGTCTTTCTTTCATTACATTTTACCCGCAATCGCATAATTTGACTCATTATCTGTTATAGTTTATACCATATTTTCCCCCTACTTTCTCAATCATATGATCCAAATAAGTAAATAATAATTCATCACTCTTTATAGCATCAGAAGCATCCAAAGATTTAAGAAAAAAAAGTTTCAGCTAGACTATTAACAAGAAAATTAATTAAATTCGTACTTCTTCCATCTGTTCAACTATTTGAAATAATCTATTGATCCTCTAAGTCTAGGTGTCCTCCGAGTCTAGTAATTATGAATTAGTGACATTTAGACATTCGCAGGTACTTCTTGCACTACTTCTAATGTCACTTAATACACTGTCATGTTATGCTTTAGCTTTTGCATATTCTTCTAATGTTTTTTTGCTCTTAAACTTCAATGGGAGTCTTAGTGCATGGTTTAATGTTCTTATGTATGCCGGCAAGATGTTATTTCATCCTATTTATATTGTTCCACTACACACTCAGATTGTAAAATACCTGAAATATTTTTCATTGAGTATGCTTATTGTATATTGTCATGCAAATTTATTCTGCTAACATGAGTACTACCAGTCACACAATCAACCCTTTCATTATAAATTACCTACTAATAATGCACATTAAAATAAAGAAAATAAAACGTCAAAATTCATGTCAAAATTTACATTCAAAATGACTTAGATGCAGATTTCATTATAGCTACGGTGAAATCACTGCATCTACGGTGAAATCTGCATATTAATTTGTGCTTATATTTTTAGACCAGGTCTCCATGCAATGTTTCTATTTTTGTTGGCCTGCGGGAGTCTCTGCGTGCAACTGGGAAGGGAGGAGTGCAGGTCTGACGGGTGTCGAACTTCAAATGCTCTCTTTGTGTGCAATTGGAAGATGAATGGAAGGGAAGGAGGCGGTTAGATCACACAGCCCTTTCAGAGTTTTTTTTGCCAGCAGAAAAGTGCAGGGGAGAGATGGTTGCAATGAAATTGGGTAGATATGAAGTTTTGAGTGCGATTAGATTTTTATTTTCTTTTAAAGAGATGGAGGCGTGCGCCCCAGTGGGATGCAAAATTAATTCCTTGTGGGGGCTCACGACCCTAGCGGATCATGCCCCTCTCATTGGTCTAGGCATTTTGCCTCGAGCCTCGCCTCGGGGCATGCCCAGAGTGTTTCCCATTAATGCCTTTTAAAACAGAGATAGTAATATAATTCATTAGTGTTAATAACAATAACTAGGGTGGTAGAATGATGAGAATAATTTAGTGCAAAGGGAGGAACTTAGAAAGAGAGAGGGAGAGAGAGACAACAAGTGAAAATGAATCCTATAATTTCAATTCATTCAATGATCAATAATAAATCAATTCATTCAATGATCAATATAATTTACAAATCATAACCTCTATTTAAAGAAGTAGAGTACAATATAATAATAAATTGATATAAAATAAAATCTAGTTCTGACAAATAATTTAAATTTAAACAAAATATAACACAAAATGGTAATTCATCCTATTTTAAGTCAAAAATAAATTTCAAAATCCTACTTTAAATTAAAATAAATCTAATTAAAGAAATGCAATTTAAATTTCATGATCGACATGCTTCAATATAGACTTTGGTCTAGCCTTAATTCTTGATTAGGATTCATAATGCATCAATAATTGTTTTGGTAAACTATACTTCTCACTTAAAACCAAGCAACCAATAACATAATTAATAGTTTTTTGGGGCATTTACTTACATACCACACAATTCTTATGTAGTCACGCATGTAACACATAAACACTCATATTTATATGCATGTCACTCAAATCTTTAACATCACATTAAAAATACCTCCATCACTATCTTTTTAAAAATGAAATACACACTTTCATGCATGGGTTTATAACACCAAGGTATTACAAGTGCAATATGTCAATACAGAAAAATTGTTTGGTATGTATATAAACTTCCTTTTTTTTTTTTTTTAATTTTCTTTCAGTCAATGTGTGCTTCTTCTAAGTGATTGACTTGTTCTGCCATCACAGGAGGATGCATCACAATGGAAGAGATGATTGCCATCATGAAATCAATTGGGAGAACCTCATCAAACATAGAAATTACAGATATTATCAACCATATTGATTTTGATGTTAGAGGAAGCTTTGATCTGACAGAGCTCTTCAATCTAACTACAGAAATTGCAGAGGTGAACAGACTCATCAGAGGATTTAGATGATTGAAACATTCAACGAATCATGACATTTATAATTTTTTACTTGCTAACATTAAATTTTCTTTTTCAATTTTTCAAATAAGTTAAATATAACTTAAATAACTTACTGTGATAAACTTTTGCCTTTTGCTTTTTATATACCAATTTACAGGAGATAAACAAAGAAGATGAACTAAAGGAAGTTTTTAAAGTGTTTGACAGAGATCAAAAAGGGTTCATATCGGCTACTGAGGTTAGGTTCACAAGGCATTAATTTCCTTCTCCTTCATGCAGTCTTGGGAATAACTCAAAAACTTTTGTTAAACCATGTTGCATATTATATTATTGTTTTTTATCCTATGCTATGGAGTTTGCTTCATATTACTTGAATTTTAAAAATTGTTTTCAGTTTTGAACTTTATTATTGAAATATATATTTGATCCCTGTATTTAAACTCTGCATAATGATATTTTATTAAGGAACTACATACTTGTAAGGGTTTATTTATGTAAAAAACTTTGTTCTGTCCCTGATTTGCAAGAAAGCTCTTTCTAGAGTAATGTACATACGTAACACATAATTCTCATATATTTACATATTTAACGCCTAAATTTTAATAATTACTATTCTAACATTTTAGTATCATTATAGCATCAAAATGTGTCAATGAAAAGGTATATTTAACATTAGAAAAAGTGATATTTCTGATGTGATTTTTAAGTTTCGAGTGTTAGGTATGTAAATACATAAGAATTATGTGACATGTATGTAAATCCCCCTAAATAAATTCTCTAGCAATCCAGGAATAAGTGTCTTCTAACTTGAATTCTATTGTTAATTGTATGTAAATGCTATAAACTCCAATTTTCAATTTTCTTTTTTTTTTCAGCTGAAAAATGTGTTGATTAGTCTTGGTGAGAAATTAACAGATGAGGAGGCTGAGCAGATGATCAAAGAGGCAGACTTTGATGGTGATGGGAAAGTCAATTATGATGATTTTGTGCGAACTATGATGCTAATGTAATAAACAGAGATTTACTCAACGTGCGCTTTCTCTTTTCTGGCATATGGTTGTTTCAAATATACAACTTTATTATTATTGTAAACTTTTTTCAGTAAATAAGTATCAAATGTAATAATGCGTTATTAATGATGTTATTATAATACTATACATTTTGCAAGAAAATAACTTTCAATAGGCTTGATGTTCAAGTCCAGTTTTTTAATTGGACCAATAAAATATCAGCACCAATTTATAAAGGGAAATCAATTTTTTCAAAAGTTTATAGATTTGATATTATTGGGAATTTGGAGAGACTAGGGGTGTAATCGAGTTGACTTGATTCATGCGCCGGATGAAGCTCGGCTCAATAAATGACTCATGGATCAAGTTTAATGAGCTAACAAGTCAAGCTTAAGCTAACTCCAACTTGACTTACTAGCGCAAGGACCACTAATTTTAAAAATATCACCATATGGTACGTTAAAAAAATTAGCATTCAATAAATTGAGTACAAATTTGATAAGAAATTAGGAAAAAAGCATTTTAATTACTTGTATAAAATGCTTTCTTATCATCTCTCTTTTAATTTCTCCATTTTTAATTATTTTAACCCAACAATTACAGTATCAAAATTATTTCCTTTATTTCATAATAAATTTGCAAGCATGTGAACTAACTCAAAAAACCAAGCTCAAGCTTAAATCCAGTACGGCTGAGTTCAGCCTAGGTGAAACCTAATTCAAATTAATGAAACAGTTGCTAGCTGTTATAAACTAAAATTAGAATTAATTTAATATGGTATGGATTCACTCAAAATATGAATCCCGGTATTTTCTTTCTTTATATCACATCCACTGAAAAACTAAATGAATTTGTTGCTGGGGTTACTATGAAGATATTTGGTTCTCTATCTGTGTTTTGATTCAATTAGCATGGTCTTCACAAGACATTTAATTGAAATAAAATTGCTAAAAAAACTTTCATGGAAGAATTGGGATTATATAGCCTTACAACTTCTTTATAAATAAAACCCTTGATTTCTTCTATATTTCTTATTTACAAATAGGACCCCACAACTCCCCCCCCCCCCGCCCCCTACAAAACGATGGACAAAAAATATTCACTAATCTCATCTTGTTACACAATTTGGATAGATCTAATGAGCTAAGTCCCTTGATGAGGCAGTCAGCTACTTGCTCTCTAGTAGCTACATCACTTATCTCTAGCAGTCCACTATTCAGCTTCTCCTTGATGAAGAACTTATCAATCTCCACATGCTTGGTTCTATAGTGACACCGGGTTGTTGGTAATGTTGATTGTTGACTTGTTGTCGCACCACAACTTCATTTGAGCTCCTTGATCCACCTTGAGCTCTACCAATAGAGTTCTCAATCATAAAATCTTGGCAACTCTCAAGGTCATGGCCCTGTATTCTGCCTCTGTTGTCGACCTCACAACTACCGACTGCTTCTTGCTCTTCCAAGGGACCAAATTGGCCCTTACAATCATGCAGTATCCTGATGTGGACCTCATGTCATCGGCACAGCTAGCCCAATCAGAATCTCAGTAGCCCTCAATGTCTGAGTGCCTATTTTTTCTGAAAATCAACCACTTCCCTGGTGCACTCTTCAGATATCTTAGAATTTGATTCATTGCATCCATGTTGCCCTTCCTCGGATCATGCATGTAGCAACTCACTACGCTTACTACAAATTATATGTCAGGATGAGTTTGACTCAGATAGATGAGACGACCTATCAACCTCTGGTACCTCTCATGATCAACTGACTCTCCTACCTCTATGCTCAACTTTCCCTTCCGATCAATTAGTGTAATTGCGAGTTTGCACTCCAAAATGTTTGTCTCTGTGAGATAAAACAATCCCCTCTGCTCCACGAGTCACCTCAATACCAAGAAAGTATCTAAGTTGTCCTAGATCCTTCACCTCAAACTCTTTACCCAGGCTTGTCTTCAATTGAGCAATATCTCGCTCATCATCACCAGTGACAATCATATCATCCATATACACAGCAAGAATAGTAATATGACAATCATGTCATCGACAGAACACTGTTTGGTCGACATTGATCTGTCAATAGCCCATGCCTATCATTGCTCTCCAAAACTTTTCAAACTCAGAACGAAGAGATTGTTTCAAACTGTAAAGTGACTTTCTCAGCCTACATATCATGCCCACTATTTGGTTTATGTCAAAGCCCAGAGTTATCTCCAAGTACACCTCTAGCAGATCCCCATGAAGAAATGCATTCTTCACATTCAGTTGGTGTAACATCAATTCACTATTCACAGCCAAGAAGACGAGTGTCATAACCGTGCTCATCTTTGTCACTAGTGCAAATGTCTCATCATAGTCAATGTTATACATCTGGTTATACCCTTTCGCCACCAACCGTGAATTGTAGCGATTAATCTTTCCTTATAGGATTTGCTTCACTGTGAAGACCCATTTGCGCCCAACTGTTTTTTTTCCTGTTGGCAGCAATGTGGGCTCCCATTTCTTGTTCTTAACGAGAGCACCAAGTTCCTCCAGCATGGCAGCCTTCCACTTTAGATTCTCCTTAGCTACCTCCCAACACTTAGGTATAGAATCAGTGTCCAAAGATGTAATGAATTCTCTGTATATAGGTAAATTGTTAGAGTATGAGGCAAACTGAGCAAAGCCATGAGAGAAATAAGAAAAAAATCAGGAGAATAAAGATCAGAAGAACAACCCGCATTAATGTGAGAGGCCCTCCTTAAAGTCATGAGAATGTGAGAAGAATGGAGAGAAATCATATCAACTATGTAATCGGATTTTGAGGTGGATGGTATACGTGCCACAGGAGTCGGGTTAGATCAAGACACGGGACTTGTTGGCACAAGTGGCACAACAGACACAGTTCTCTTATTTTGCCTCCTTATATACACCCTCAGCTCCCCTCGGGGCTTGAATACCACCACCTTTGGGCTCATTTTCCTCAGGAATTAGCTCTTCCTCATTCGATCATTCCCACACAATGGGACAAGGTCTCGTTCCCACATCTATCAATCTCTTACCATCACTACTCTCCCCCTCTCATCTTATACTTCCATCATCTAAAGAGACACCAAAGGGTGAGGTCACCTCGAAGGAGAAGTACGGTTTGAATTCTTTAAAAGTCACGTCCATGCTCACAAATAATATCTTCTCTATTGAGCTCTAACAAACATATCCCTTATGAATAGCAGAATAACCCAAAAAAACACACTTCACAGCTCCAGGATCCAGCTTTTTTATTGATGGTCTATTGTCCTTCATGAAACATACACAACCAAATACCGTCAATGGGAAGATCTCGTCATTATCTCCTTTCAACAACTCACAAGGATATTACCATCCTAACACCCTTGAAAGCATTATGTTGATCAATTGAGTGACTATCAAAACAGCTTGCCTCCACACATGTTTTGGGATACTCATCGAGATCATCATGCTTCGAGCTACCTCTAGAAGGTATCTCGTGTCGGTGTATATATATAAGTGATTTGATGTTGCATCCCCTGGGCTGACATGTACTCTCCAAACGTCTTGTCAGTATATTTTGTCTCATTATCAGACTTCAATATCTTCGCTATTGCACTGTCTTGAGTCTGAATTGCCCTGTGAAAACCTTTAAAGGAGGCAAACACATTACTTTTGTTTCTCGTCAGATATAATCGAGTAACATAAGAAAAATAATCAATGAAAGTCACAAAATATCTATAGTCATTCATCGAAGTTGTAAAACAATGTCCTCATACATCTGAATGCACCAAATCAAAAACACAAGAACTCCTATTACTAGAGACTAAAGGTTACCCAACTCACATGCATCACACACAATTTTTTGTTTATTTGTCTTCTCATACAAAGGCTGATACAAGCGACTCAAAAAACAAAATGAAGAGTGTCATATAAGGCTGTCAAAAAAGTTCGTTGTTCGCAAACAGCTCGTGTTCGGCTTGTTCGTCAAGTAAACGAGTTGAACACGAACAAATTTTTAAAGCTCGAATTATAAACGAGTCGAACACGAACAGCTCTTTGTTCACTCGTGTTCGGCTCGTTTTAGCTCGAAATAAAAAAAGTTATATAATTATTTATATAAAAATATATTACACATATTATTTATATAATAATATATTATATATATTTATATCTAAGTTTGTTCTTGTGATAATGTGGTTATGCACCTTATTTTGCATACATTTGGTTCAGGTTTAAATCCAGCACTCAACATTTATTTTTTCAGTTTAATTTTAACGAGTCAATTTCGAGCCGAACATAAACACAAATATTTAAATCGAGCCGAAAACGAACACACTGTTCACGAGCCGTTTTTGAACACGAGTCGATTTTGAACACGAACAATTTCGAATGAGCCGAACACGAGCCAACCCTGAGCTCGCTCAAGCTCAGCTCGCTTACAACCCTAGTGTCATATGCGTCTGTGATGTAACAACAACACATCCTCCGTACTCCCAGATCCTCCAACTCCAACACATTTTGCCATGGATGTCAGTGTTGAGTCCATCCCCTCTCTATCGAAGTACCAGGGTCCACTATGTCAGGTGTCAATCCCAAGTCTCCGGCCAGTCCCCTTGTTTTAAAAGATCACCCTAAGAATATTAAAAGAAATAACATATTTTAGTTGGAGAATAATGACACTAATCAATAAAAGTTTAACTGAAAAGAAATCAGCAAGCAAAATATTAGAAAAAGTCATAGAATTGGTACATCTCATTGTACCCTTACCAACCACAAGATGTGTTGTATCATCAGTTGTCTGAATGTTCTCTGGAACTGTTAGATGAGTATAGGAATCAAACTCACAAACATTACCTGTCACATGTCGAGATGCGTCAGAATCTACTATTCATTCTGATGATCTTATTGTGAATATAGAGGCAAGAGCATGTGTATGACGAGTATCTTTGGCTGAATGAGCATAAGTAGCAATGTTCCTATTTGTTGATGATAAAGCAATGCATTCTTAGTCACATCACCTGTTGTTTTTGGCTTCATCTTCAGCATCTACAAGAGATCGTGATACTAATCGATAAATATCACCTCTATCTCTCCCTCTTTCTCTGCTACCATCAGATTTGCCCAATAGCCCCCTCTGTCGCCTCTTTGGCCTCCACTATTACGACCACGGCCTCTAGATTGTCCACGTCCACCATTATCTCTCCTTTGGTGGCTTTGGACAAGCCTTGCTCAAGTGTCTTACATCTCAACAGTTGTAAAATCTGCGGGTTTCCACCTGAACATCTGTCATGCAAAAACCGATCGCATGCCTGAAATTCAACTCGACTCAAAGTGTAGCCTCATGCGACTCTCCTCCTGTATCATCACTGTGATGGTCTAATCCAATGAAGGAATCGTTGCTTGGGCTAAGAGGATCGATCTCCTCTGATCAAAAGTGGGTTCATATGAGCCAAAAATTGCATATTCCCCATCTGTGCAAAGATCTCCCCTTCTTGCACCCTGGATCACTACAGCTTGACATAGATGAGAAGTAAACAAGATCTTACCACAGCCGCTCCAGATTTATGGAGTACTCCCGAATCGGTCTATCACCCTGAACCACTGCCTCTATCTCATGCTAAATCTGGAACGCCCTCATGTGGTTCTCAACTCCAACATAGATCTTCTTCAGTTTTTCCTAAATGTCGCTCACTTTCTGATGTCATCCACTGATGAGGCAATCGATGGAACCATTGAGTTGAGGAACCAGATGTAAAGTCAGGCATGTATGGTTCTCCACTCATCCCTCTCAGCAATGTTACTCTTTGGCTCGACCACCGTCAGGTATCCTTCTAGTATCTTCCCTACTAGAGCAGCCTCGATCTGATGCAATCGATTCAAATATGTGGTCGGTCCATTGAACTTCAAATCCAAAGAAGAGAGATCTAGCTTCACTTGTGTCAGAGCATGTGCTGAGGTAGTGGCTCCTGCCAAGACACTAGCTCCCTTATGAGATCAACTAAGACCTTCAGAACTTAAGGATCCATCTTCCTCAGAAGTTTCAATCTCTTACCTCTTGTACTATCTCCATCTTCTGACATTCTCAATCACAAAAATCAAGTCTAGATCCCACAGATCACACACGACTTCCTGCAAGTTTGTGCGATCCACTTTGCCTTAGTCAGCATGAAGCCACAGTCCCTTTGTGTCGTGTGCCAAACCATAACCACTTCGATCCTTCGCCTTCATATCGTCAAGTGCAACTCCAGAAACAAAGGCCCTGCTCAGCTGACTTCCTCACTCTCGAGTGGCAATTCCAAGTTGTTTCTCACGGCGATGGCAACGGCGGGACTGTTGTGTACGAAAGACCACCAGACGAAGCCCTGCTCCACTCCTTCCTCTCACAGCAAGACGTAGAAGCCCTTCCTGACCGAACTCTGTGAGACACTCTCCCGTCATGACTGTCGCGATCGCGTGGGTGCCTTCCCAACACTCGTCTGTCGCGATCCCATCTGCTATGATCCGCGATCCCATCTGTCGTGCTTTGCAATCCATCTATCGCGATTCACGAAAGAAAGGAAGATCAATCCTTGCTCTCTGCACCGATCGAGTTGCACCGACAATGATCGAGACCAACGAGGACGCCAACTGGCTGCTAGTGTTAGGGCTCTGATACCAAATTGAAATAAAATTGCTAGAAAACTTTTATGGAAAAATTGGGCTTATACAGCCTTACAACTTTCTTTACAAATAAAACCCTTTACTTCCTCTATATTTTCTATTTCCAAATAGGACCCTAAACTATATACAATTGTCACCAAATTTTTTATGATCTAAACATGTTGATCAGATCCCTAAAAGTATTTCAATATCGTAAATTTTACTATAATAGTAAAGTAAATTATTGTAGGATGAGTGCAAATTATTGTGGAATGAATTTGAGATAAATGCAAATATAATAAAAAGAGATTACAGTAGCAATTTTTTTTTATATATAATTTAATTATAAGTAACTGATTATAAATACACAATTACTATAAAGCATAGATAATAATAAGAGCATAACGATCGTGGGAAGATTTAATCTCTAGTTATGTTAACTACCTTAGAACTTTAATCCCATAAAAATTTTAAAAAAGAAAAAAAAAAGAAAATGGAAGTCATGGGTTAAAGGCAACTGATTGAAATATTATAAGGTCAACAATAGAAGGCCCAAAACATATGAAATAGCCCAACACATAAAGGCAAAAAAATACTATATATGATTCAGAGTTTTGACAATCAAACGTCCACCAAAAATCATCCAAAATCAAAATATAAAAGAAAATAAAAAGACAGTCAGACATCTTGGAAAGAGAAACGATTGAAAGTAGAGTGGAGGACTTGGTAATAATGGCAACTTGAATTAATCAATTATATAGATGGTGCATGAATAAGGGAACGGCACAATGGAAAATAAAAAGAACTAACAAATAGTATATACTAATATGTTAATAAATCATTTAATCTGTGATCTATTTTTCCTAAGAAACGTAGAAGTTATATGATTTAAAAGTAAAATGTTCATATTTATGTAATTATAAAGAAATTTTCTTAAATTTAGAAAGGTGATTTCTACTCTCAGATTTTTTCACCATTAGCCACAAATTTATGAATTATATGGACTAAAGATTTTTTTTATCGCTCAACATTCATGATTGGACTATCGAGGATATCTTGACCCAAAATTCAATCAGAATAAGTCCTAAAATAATTGCATTAGCTTTCGAGAAAAGTGCAACACAAACTTTCAATTGATTGCCATATTTTGCACTCTTCTCAAAGTAAATACAATGATTATAAAATTCATCCTACTAAATTTGGATCAGAAAATTCTGACCCAAGTTTTCTCCTCCCAGAACCTAGACATGGGAACCTGTGAGGGTAAAAGGTAAGGGTTTGATTGTCACAAAACAAATCAGAAAATCAAGATGTTCTCCTGATGATCATGGTGGCACTCAGCATCAGCAAATGAAGAGTGTTTGGGTTTTAAGAGATTTTTATTAAGGCTTCCAGTAAAATAAAAGCAGACTAACAGAGGTGGAAATACAAAAATTCTTTCCTGATAAATTCACCCAAAAAGTTGAAAAAATGTAATCCAAGCTACTAACAGTGGTGTGAAAACCAAAAATATATGAAACTCCTTTCTAAATTTTAGATATTATATTGCTAGTAAGGAAATAAAAAATTTATTTCCAAAATTATTCCTACATATGTCACTGAGAGCTGATTGGATAAAACCTTTGTTAAAAGAAGACACTGCTGATGTACAGTCTTTAGTGGAACAATAGATCTCTAAATCCAACAGCCCTTAGGACTACGAATACCCCATCCATCAGTCCTCAAATAAAAAAATCACCTTAAAGCTTCTACAAATGTCATAGTGAAGAATTTTCATAATTATATTTTTAAGTACTGCCAAATTTTAGATTTTTGCAGGGAAAAGGCTTTTATAAATCAAATGCAACAAGTTTTGCTAATTATTCTCTCTCTCTCTCTCTCCCTTTCTCACACACACACACACACAACTCTATAGCGCACACTGCAGTGGTGGTTGTGTGCAAAAGGAAAATTTATGCAATTATAGAATTTGGGGTATCTGCGTACCTCCATGAATGTGCTTCCATAAAGCCATAGACTCTTGAACCAGCAACATCTTCAACCGAAATTGCTGATGCAATTTCCGTCAAGTCATCATTGGTAAACTTCACCTTCAAAGAGTTTATATTGCTGTCAAGGTTCTCGATCTTAGTTGTACCTATGAGAACCAGAATTTGAAAGTAGGCAGGAAATTCTTCAGAATAGAAAATTAAATTAGGCCATAAACATAAGAGAATAAAGTTTGATTTCATAAAATCTTTGCATTAATTAAAATGTCCAAATAAAAAGCAGTGAGAAACTTCAAAGCATTGTCGAAGTACTCCACGAGCCGGTTAAAGCATCATCAAACTAACATAAACATTCAATTCTTCATTCAACTAAACTGAATGTAATATTTTCGTTTGTTTGCTCTGCCGAAGATGCATCTAATTCAATCACGCATATTAGTATCAGCTTGGCACACTCCTTTTGTTTCATATATTTTTTTAATTATTTTATTATTTTTTTTTTTTCCCCCCCCCCCCCCCCCCCAACTAGATGAAGGGGCCAGGCTGTTTCCCTTAGTTGTTTTAAACTTTTAAAGCTCTCCATCTCATTCTTATGCAGTGGTTTTTTTCAGTTTTTTCTGCATTAGTAGCTGTTTTTGCTTCTTTGTTATACTATGGTAATGGGCTCTTTTGATGCAAATAATACTATTTACTTTATTTTGCCAACTTTTACATATTCTACTTATAATTAATTGTTTTTAATTTTTTTGTAATTATAAAAAAATTTGATCGAGTTTAACAATTCAAACTTATTTTAAGTTGCGGTCAATCCCTTTGTCATGTCGAATGTCGCCGGAATGTATCCAACCTAGGGTGTGAAAATCCTCACTTTATATCTTCTAAAAGTGATCATAACAGATAAAAAGCTTATGCAGCATTTGCATTCAACTTGTTCTCATGTAACGCAATTATGTGATTTTAGTATATAACACCAAAACTAAATGCATTTTCACGTCTTCAACTAATTAAATCTATTCTCTTCTTTTTCTTTTTCTTTTTCTTTTTCTTTTGTTTGTATTTTTGCTCACATAAATCTTTATAATACTTTTTTAAAGCTCACCTGGGATGGGAACAACATCATCTCCTTGATGAAGTATCCAAGCTAGAGCAAGCTGAGCTGTTGTGCATTGATGCTTCGCAGCAAGTCTCTCTAAACGTTGATATAGCAACTTGTTCTTCCCAAGATTTTCTCCACTGAACCTTGGATGTGAAATCTGATAATGAAGATTTAAGCAGCAAGTTTCAAAACCCTAAACCAACATTAACAAGTTTTATCAAGCAATATAAGTATCAAATAAGAATCAACATATCAAACTTATTACCAATGCACTATCTCTCGAGATACTTTCTAAAACTGCTCTCCCGCCAAAAAATCCACGCCCAAGAGGGCTATAAGGAACTATGCTGATTCCAAGTTCTCTGTAAAAAAAAAAAAAAGAGTATAATTTTAGGCACAAACTCTTAGCTTTGATACGATAGAAAGTTGTATTTGTTTATAATTGTAGTGGGCTTATTTTAACGGTTAGGAACTAGACAAAACTTAGATTTTTTTTTTTTTTTTTTTTGGAATCATAATCATGAGCACAAATAGTTTTTTTTTTCAAAATGTCATCTTGTTGTGTTTAAATATTTATTAAGATTCCAAGAATATTCAACTTCTCATTTTTTCTACTAATATATCTTATTTTTATGTTCGACTTGAGGCATTTACTGGACACTTAAATCAGAATAAGAAAATCATAGGAATTGTCACAACCCAGATCCGGAAGGCGGTACACCTCAGCAACGCAAGGCATGAGAAAATGATTTGAATATGTTTTGTATTTTTAAAGAAAAACTTTCATTGCAAATAAAAGGAAAGGTAAATTTTATTAATGCTAAAAGTTTAATATTACAACTGAACTAAAAATAGAAAATAGTTGAATCAAAATATAAATAATAACATAGAACAATTGCCCTGACCCAACAAAGAAAAATACAATAGTTAGAAACAAACACTAAACAAAATACCAAAATTGAGAAACTAAAACTGAAAAGCTGACTCCTGTGGACACGGTCCTACGGGTGGTTGAAAGGAACTTGTGCAAAAATTAAGAATAAGTTTGACAAACTCAGTAAATAACAACTATCTATTAAAGCATAAACAGCAAAGGAAACGGGACATGCAATATGAACAAGTAAGAAAAAATCACTATGTGTGGATGTAACACTATAAGACCGACAAGAGATGAGTAAATATTAAATACGCATTGTCGGCACTAAAAGAAAGTTTGGGGGGTCGCCCGTAAGAAGCTGTCGGCAGCCGGAATTGAAATCTCATCGCCCGCTTCGGAAGGACGTTTTAATTTACGTATATATATGTATATAATTTTAGAAAAATATGAAATCAAACTGACCTCATATTTTCCATAGTTTAAATGAAAGAGCACTCTACCTCAAATTTTGTATCTACCCCGATGGATAAACACAAAACTTGAGGGTGAGGCTCGATCAAATAAACTAAGAAAACATATGACATCCGTTTGGGTCTGTGAAACCGTTTTATTTGCCGACAAGTTCCCCTATTTAATACAAATAATTAAATAGGGTTTATTTTAAGCTGGGTTCGGAAAAGCTTCCTATAAGGGCAAACCCCTATAGTTAATTACATCTTAAATGACCGAAGTCACCTAAGAAAACTCTCGATAAAAATCAGGGGATAATGTCTTCAAAGAGGTCAAAAGGATA